GCGTGAATCACGTCTAAAACCTTCAATAAATCATTCCATATTTTCACCGAGAAATCACCAATTTTAATTTTTTTTTCTTGCGAAAAAAGAGTGTCTTGCATAAATATTATCCATTCAAGATAGATTAATTAGTTAAAACTTTCGTTTAATCAAACCACTTTTATTTATAAAGTAGAATATGTAAATGAAATTTTGCACAAAGAATAATAAGTAAGCAGTTATACTATGCATCTATGGTTAGATTTTTTGTAAATGATAATTAAATTTCCACACTAGACATCTTCTTTAGTGGTGATATTTTTATTTTTATTTTTGGCCTTATTCTATAGATCCTAGTTTCTTTGAAACACAAGTTATCGAAAAAAGGAAAACATAGGAGCATAGAATGAGTAAAATTGAATTTTTTTGTATAAAAAGCATTTTTTAAGTAATATAAATTAAGAAGGAATCATTAGAGAATGTTTGTATGGAAAAATCATTGCCTGCCTCCCTCTTAGTGGTGCAAGTTCATTACAACGGCGGGCAACGCGCGAATCAGATTATGCTAAGGTGACCGGACACTGCTATCAAACGGTTAGGCCCGCCCAACAGGTTTGTCAGTCTTTGTAAGATATACAATAACTGCAGAATACCCAGCTAATTGCCATCTAGCATACAAAACACTAATACATAAGTATCTTATATTATTTGAATATGTAATGAATACTTTCGAAGACATATAAAATGATGAAATTAACTAATGAATGGCTGAAATGAAAAGAAATTCACGGCCGTAAAACTTTAAAAAACAAACACAGTCTGTATTAAAAAAAACGTGTTAGATTCCCCTCCCAATTATTAATATCAGATGGTGTTATAACGCCAACTTTCTTTATCAAAAACATAATAGTAATATTGAAAAGAAATATCTCGATAAATTGTTTAAGCTGACTCTGCTTAGTATGCCTCGGGGCTCAAAGGGCATAAAAGCAAAAAGTATTTTTTTCAGTGCAGCCAAAAAGCCGTTTGTTTTTCGACTCTGCAGTGAAATTGACTTTCGGGCCTTTGAACCTTGGTACCGATAAATGTGAAAGGAAATAAGAAATTCATTGCCATTTAGAAAAATAGTAATGGAAATTTTTAATAGTTATTTATTTCCAAGTGTATCATTAAAATAATTGTGTTGGTAATACAATTTAATCAATCTTTTTCTTTTTATGCCACGTTTAAAAGACAATAAAATGCGAGCGTAAATATATGCTCCATGTGCGAGCGTGAAACGGAACGCAAATGCACCCCTAGGGCGAATGACTCACTCACCCCTATTCCGAATGTTACCGAACAGTGCCGAGCGCCCCGGCAGCCCGCGTACGGCCACGGAAAACATTTCCACACAGTCCTCAATAATTATATTATGTAACACTTTACAATTTTACACAGTAAAATTTTCAAAAAACGCAAAATGCTCACACGGCATTCATTAAATAGGAAAATCGCGCGCGAACTTTGCTTTTAAAGTGATACAAATGTGATGTTAAGACGGCAAATATTGATTTTCCCGTGACGTGTTCAAGAAACGTTGTATGCGGATTATACAGTGTTATTATTAGATGTGTAGTGTTTTAATTTATTTAGTAAGTGCTTTACGGAATGGTGTACTTTATCCAAAACTAGTAATTAAAAAAAACAAGGATTTCGAATTTAGAAGAAACTCTTTCGATGCCTCGTTTTTGAAAAAAAAAAAACCATTAGAAATTCAGAAATGCAGCTTATTAAAAAAGTATTTATCTAAAATATTTGCAGATATGATCAATTTAAAAAATGATTTTATTTTAAAATTACTACGTGACCACCAATAAAGCGTGTCAATAAGGGCGCCATATTATTTACCTTTTGCCATTTATTTTGTTTTATAAAAATATATAATGTCTTTAGTTAATTTCCCAATAGAGTAAATTAATACCATTCATAATAAACTCATACTCGAATACGTGTAGAACTATTAATACGAAGTGCGAAAACAGCACCTATTACCAAATAGGCAATATAAAATTGTGTTGGAAAATTTCAAAAGCTTATTTGTTAAAGGACGCTTAAATTCTTTTTCCTGCTGTAATTGCTAACATATAAATGAGGTTTTTTTTAAAAATTTGTGTGATTTATTTAGGGCTGGCATAAAGAATAATTTAAGATTTTTTTGCTAAAAGTAATTATTTTACCCTATGAACATTTGTCTCTAATTTCACCCCCCCTAAAGTTAAATTTTCGACAAAAAGTAAATAACTTACTTTTTTCCGAAGTCCTCTTACTCGTTTTACTAATATTCGTTAAAATGGTTTCAGTTGATTAGACGTGAAAGAACAACAGACAGACAGTTTCACTTACCCAAATGGGTAAGTGAAACAATATTGACATTCATCCTAATACTATAAATATAGTATTAGGATGAATGTCAATATTGATAGTATTTTAAGTTATAGTAGGTACAAACTTATATTAAATATGGGGGCCAATTGTATTGTATTTTTAAACTCTTTCTGCGATCGCCTTTAGAGCTTAAGCAAGTTTTAATGTGACATTAAATGATCCCTTTCCCAAATAGAATATGAAAGGCACGCAATGAAGTAAAAGTTATATTACAAATTATAATCAAGTCCCTGCTATTTAATTGTTTCTACATACCTTAATAAAAATAAAGTTCCTGTTTATTTTTCATATTAATCCACGAAACTAGACTTCTTGGCGCCCAACGTGTTACAGGAACAAATGAATTATGTTTTTTTATTTACAAGACTAATTAGTAATTATTGTCATCTCTGCAGTCACAAGTTTGAATACTGAACCGTTTCGACAAATTTGACGACCTCCGTGGCTCGAGTGGTATGTACGCGGTTCGAATCCCGGTAGGGCAAGTGTTTGTGTGATACATACGAGCAATTTGTACCTATGTCATGGACGTTTATATGTATTTCTAAATAAAAATATAATTATATATGTATCAGATGTATTTTATCCGTTACCCTTGTATCCCATAACACAAACCTGACAGTGCTTACTTTGGGGCTAGGCTAATTGGTGTGTGTGTTAGTTTTTTTTTATTTATTATTTATTTAAACTAGAAATGTCACAGTTCACGTAGGCAGTAGAGGTAAGCCGTGGCAAATATTCTTTCCGATTACCATATTTATAGGCAACAGCTTTATCTATTTTAATGAGGATTAAAGCGATGTGCGTGATATTGTGTATTTTATTTCAGTTAAGCACGGTTCAATGTATAACAAAAAGCACTTCTTATGTTTATGTAATTTTGTTTGATAGAATTGAAAATAAGCAGTAACCATCCTAGACCATCCTAGACATCTGAGCACTCAAAAATACGATGTATCATAACTTTGGTCACCCATCTTATGACCGGCATTTTCAAAGTTACTTAACCCTCTTTGCGTCATCGGGCTTCATGCAGAGCTTATTGTTAAGAGAGGATAACATAGTATTGGCCTCTTACTGCTGTTCTTAAACTGCAGCACTATGCAAGTAGTTCTGGCATGAGTCCAAGTATTACCAAACATATATTTGACCCGAAAGTCTAGTTGTTCGATAGAAGTGATTTAGCTAGGAAGATAAAATATATTTATATCTATATATATTATTTATGTATGGTTTATACATATGTATTTTATGTAATATATATATTTTATCTTGTTTCCATAGATATACTTTAATTATAACAAGTACCTAATGCGGTGAATTCTTGTTGCACTACCATCACAAGATTTTTGCTATAATTCTCCGGTTGACTGGTAGAGAATGCCTTATGGCATGAAGCCCGCCACTTGTACACTAATTTGTGCAATAAAGTATAAATACAATAAAACTGGTGATGAATAGCAAAACTAAACGAGTCATTCGTCTTGACCTACTTGGTTTTTGAGTTGATTCATGACAGGACTGTGAAGGATTCTCTTTACTCTAGAGAGTCGTTAATTTTATTTATTCGATATTTCTAGACAGTTTTATTTTATAGTTGAGGATTCAAAACCTTAAATAATAATTAAGATTATGATTTATTCATCATTGTTTGTATGCTTGTGTATTTTTATTGATCAATAAAATGGTTCTCTCTCTCTCATTGTTCCGTTGAGATATTTTTCAACTCTAAAGAGTCGTTGATTTTTTATTTTGACCGATTAGATTTTCGAGTCATTATTACAGTTGTCGTGAAACTCGGTTTCTAGATAATATATTAGCTAATATTTCAGCTACATTCGTTCAGTAATACTTCACTGAAACAATTTTTATTTACTAAAGAAAGTTGTTTCCTGGTCACGTTACTATACGGAATTTGCAGTCACGATCGATAATGGTCGATGATGTGGCTAAAATGAAAACACGCTTCCCCTTATATTAAGCCAGCCAAAATAACAATCACTTTTCAATTTGGTATGCACTTAATGATACGCTATTTCAAAATACTCAAAAAAATTATAAGGCGCCGAAAGAACACCAAGAAAGAGATTTTAAGGATAAATATTCAAATAATCATAAATGTTGCAACTTATTTTCTAATTATAATCTTAAATACCACAGTCACGTCACAATACACAATTGGTCACTAGCAAAATAAAAATCACTTTTCAATTTGGTATGCCTTTGATGACATTTCAAAATCAATTCAAAATACTTAAAAATTCAACGAGGCATCAAAGGAATAAATACCTACCTAAAAGAAAGCTTAGAATTCAAAACAATCAAAGACAATTCTTTGTATATTTTCAATCTTAAAACACAGCACTCACAAATGCTCACAAAATACAATTAATTGGTCACGTTGTTCTTATTTACAGTACAACGCTAGTGAGTCGGAACAATGACCGTCCCCGTTTTTCGGATTCGAATTGCAAACGTCGTCGTGTTGTCGTCGGTTCGGTCGACAAGTTGTGTTTCGCGAGCGTGACCGCTGACTGATCGCGAGATGTATCGGTCGACCCGTTGTGTTTGCGAAGCGCCTTGAGCGGTCGAAGATGGAGAGTGGCGGGGCCTCCTCGGCCACCGAGGCCTACCAGTACGTCGGGCCTTTCAGATTGGAGAAGACACTGGGCAAAGGGCAGACTGGTAAGTTTTCTACTCATTAGGTTAGCTATGATAAACAACTCAGGGCCGGATTTAGTGCAGGGTAGGTGGAGCTGTGGCCCACGGACCCCAGAAATAAGAGGGCCCCACAACACAAAAAAAAAATTAAAGGAGATGTTTCATTGTAGGCCAGGTAACTAAGTACATATTCCAAAAAAATGGGATATACAATAAGCATTCCCAGTAAAATAATAATAATTACTTTCTTTACCCAATTTATTGGATTATGAATAATGCGGCGATTTTGCCGATATCTTTATTAAGTCTGTGGTATATGTATATTAATAATGGAATCATAGTAAGTTCAAAAATGTTATATATGTAAAATAAACGTAACTCAAGCATGCTCAAAAAGTCTCTGAACAAGCTTTAATAGCTCAAAAAATATTATGGGTAATATTTTTTATTTATTAAATATATTAGGTTAAAGAGTACTGTTAGCGACGCGCTCAATTATATTATGAGATTATATTTTTTATTAAAAATGTAAGGTAGTGCAATGTCACTGTCAATCCCGCGGAGAACCGTTACAAGCCGTTGCACGGGCTCCGTACTACTTTGCGATCCAGAAAAAACACGTGACGTTATCTTGACTTGATAAACGCCAAACCGACCTTGTCGCTATTGTAGATGGTGAATATCATAATTAATTAAAAAAAAATCTGTACCGCAAAATTAGGCATAATATGGAAATTTAATGGTCGGACTCGGCTATGTTCCTGATTGCTTTTGTTTGTGCTTTATGTACCAGACCTATATCAAGTCCCATACAAATATGAAATATCTCCTTTCGACCGGTAACGAACCAGGGGGTGGGGGAGCAACCGTAAGTGGCCCGGTGTTCGTACATGTGCCGTGACTCGTGTCACGTACAGTAACCTTGTATATCTGCAGAGCAAGCATAACCTACTTTAATCACGTAGCTGTATCTAAGAAATGCATCATAATACGTCATTGTTCTAGGTATATAAAAACTTAACTTTGCATAATAAATCAATGCTCGTCACGCATTCAACAAGATCAGTTGTCTTTCTTCGTTAACCTAATATCATTATGTATAGGGCCCTACAGTTTGGTCCTTGGAGCCGGATTTGAACCAGCGACCTATGGATTACAGTCCACTATTCCAGATTTACAAAAAGAGGCCCCCACACCTTCGTTGCACCTCTAAATTCTGCTCTGAAACAAGTAAATGATTTGCACCGCGCCAAGATAGCTGTACAGCAGTTATAAACTGCCACACCTACCATCCTCACCTTGCAGGGAACCGTTTGGAGAAGAAACCTCCACCTTACAGGAGACTACAGTGAAATGTGTTAGCTACTTCTTCACGTCTAAACGGCTGGAGTGGTTTTATATTGAATTTTTATTATAGAGTTAGCTGACCTGACACCCTGGATTAACACATAGGCTATGTTTTACTGTGGGAAAATATCACACTAATATTATAAAGGCGAAAGATTGTGTGTGTGAGTGTGTCTGTTTGTTACTTCTTCACGTCTAAACGGCTGGAGCGATTTAAATAAAATTTGGTATGGTGTTAGCTGACACCCTGGATTATCACATAGGCTACGTTTTACTCCGGGATAATATTCCTAATAAATCGCGGGTAATACAGCTGGGCACAGTTAGTAATACATAAAGATCTGCCGACAAGTCAAAAGCACAAAGTCTAACTGAGATTCCGACCAATGAATTTTTTAGCTGCGTCAACCCCGTGCCCGACCGCACAGGCTTCAATGCGTGTCGACAAATTGCGGTTTTAAATTATTGCGGACGAAATCCATTTTGCGCTCCACCGTTTATAAGTTTCTGGTCAAGAATAATCACGTAATGGATCAATCGGTAGAACGGTTCAATGTTTTGTGTAAAGCCCTTGTAAAATGGCGGGTCAGTCAATCCCCCTTTCCCTATGTTTCAGTAAATGTGTGGTGATTTACTGGAACCACCCCGTGGACTTCTTGAGGGAACGTTGAAAGACACTTTCCGCTATTTTGTTTCACTTGCCAACACTTGTGCATGTTCCCGAACACTTAGTGGTTAATAATCCACCATTATTAGACACTAACATCCGCCACAACACAATTTTAACAAGAAAAACAAAACTGCTAAAGTGACGCTTTCCGATCCCGACAAAAAGTCGGCGGGAAAATTTTGAGCGGGACGTTTTTTGTTTTTTTTTTGACTTTAGCCAATGTCAAGTACAAAACGCGGGAAGTTTAGCGATAGTGATTTCGAATAACTTTCTCGCTAACTATATTTTATTCAGTAAGTAGTTGTTATATAGAACAGATAAAACTGGTATAAGTAGTTATTGAGACAGAGAACTAAATATTTCCGGAAAAGGGGTCTAAAACATAAAGAAATGTACATTCTTTATTACCAATGCTTTATGGTAGGTAGGGTAAATAGATATTAGATGCATTGTAGAAAATCGTAATTAAAAAAAAGCGAGGGTGCTTGTGACCACACGACTGAACTTCTTTAGCTCCAATGGCAATGATCTGAAAATCTTAAACTACTTACCTGAAGATATGTTGTTAGCAAAAAAAACACCTTTTGTTATCACCCACCAATCCGCACTGGGTCCGTTATCACCCACAAATCCGCACTGGGTCCGTTATCACCCACCAATCCGCACTGGGTCTGTTATCATCCACAAATCCGCGCTGGGTCCGTTATCACCCACCAATCCGCACTGGGTCCATTGTCACCCACCAATCCGCGCTGAGTCCGTTATCACCCTCCAATCCGCACTGGGTCCGACATCATCCACCAATCCGCACTGGGTCCGTTATCACCCACTAATCTGCGCTGGGTCCGTTGTCACCCACCAATCCGCGCTGAGTCCGTTATCACCCTCCAATCCGCACTGGGTCCGACATCATCCGACAGTCCGCACTGGGTCCGTTATCACCCACCAATCCGCACTGGGTCCATTGTCACCTATCACCCTCCAATCCGCACTGGGTCCGACATCATCCACCAATCCGCACTGGGTCCGTTATCACCCACCAATCCGCACTGGGTTCATTGTCACCCATCAATCCGCGCTGGGTCCGTTATCATCAACCAAGCACGAGATTCATGTAGGTATTTTGTGACGGATATTGTTCATTGTTTACCGATGAGTCACCGAAGACACAAATCGTAACACATTCGCCAGTTTACCCCCCAGGGCAAGCGTGCCTAAAGAAGTTTCACTTCAACAAGTCCCTCCTCGGCTGGGAACCCAACCCGGGCCGCCGCGTCACAAGCACGCTTTTACCAAAATTTGCATACTAGCTTAGCATTAGGCAGACACCGCGCCCGTAGGATAAGAGTTGTGACGACTAAAGGTTTCACTTTAAAAAACTTCTCTTAGGTAGATAGATTTTAAATTCATCGAAATAATATAGCTAAGTAAGTACCTACTTATATCGATCATTTCCCCTCACAACTCAGCTGTTTGCGTTATTGTTGGGGTGTGCTCTAGAGGGTCAATGGTTTGATGCCATTTACGTAATTGAGTTTCGTATATTCGAATGTAGCGAGCTACAAAAACTATCGTATTGAGACCAATACGGACCCACATTTATCATGTATTGTAATGTAACACGAAAAATATTATCTACGTCTTTCTTTTTTCTTTTAATATTGATTCAGCAGCAGTATATATGTCGTAAAATGATGTGATAAATTAAATTATCGCGAAATTTCTAGACTTTTTGTGAAAACGTGGATAATTAGATAATGGCGATGACATTGCTCAATCTTACAGTTAGTGATTCTTTATCTGGGGCTTCGCCAGGCGCTGCCGCGGCACGCTCGCTGCGCTCGCTTCGCTCGCACGTCATGGTTACAACACTAACGCTAAAACCCATTTATGTTCATAAGAAAAAAGGTTAAATTTAGTTTTAAGTTTAGAGAATCATACCAGAATCGACACCATTGTCTAATTATCCGCGTTTTCGCAAAATCCCGCGAAAAAAGGATTTTCGCATAAATTCATATATATATCAAATCATCCTACCACATGTTACATTATAATATTTATTTATTTATAATTATCAAAATGTGACAAATTTGACCATTAAAAAGTTAGAGGTCGGGTAATAATAGAGTTTGAGAATCGTTGATGTAGAGAAAAGTTGATACTTTATTAAAAATAAATTATATTAAATTATATTTTTATTTCATTACGACATTTTTAATAATAATTAAAAGTAAAACCCGACGTCCCGGTATCGTTGGATACGTCTCTTGTGTTCGGAATCTTCAGCCAGCGCTTGCAGTAATGAATTCGACAGGTACTGATCTGAAATTAACGAAAAGCAACAAAATAGTTTTATACAAATGATATTGGAGGAGCTTGATGGCGTAAGTGGTTATGCGGGATTTACACTACCCAATTTTAAGGGGTCCCTTTTTTTATAGCGCGGTAGGCAAATGACTCTACCCCACCTGATGTCCAGTGGTGATAAAGTCCAAACGCGAAGATAGCTGGTACAGCAGTTATAAACTGGTACACCAACTATCCTCACCTTGCCGGCCTGCAAAAATGCTTCTTCACGCCTCTTCTCATAAAGGACCCCAGATTGTAGGAAGGAGGAAACACGTGCGCGGGCAAAGAATCCCACTTAGGAATAGTACGACAAAGAAATGAGTCACCAAATTTCTTCGTTCGTGTAGGAATAGTGGCCACAGTGAGTCGGTGGCAACGTAGGCCAGCGAGCGCCGTCCTCTGAAGAAAAGGTAATGGAGGGATAAGGGAGAATAACTCCTCCGAAACCTAACGAAGGGTGCTGTAATGTGAGTTAGGGAGTAAGGGACCCGATCTAGGGCGTTCGGTGCGTGCTTACCCTAGCTAGGGGCCACGCCCACCCTTTCGATTGGGCCCTTAAAATTGGGTAGTGTAAATCCCGTTTTAGCGCGTCCGGCTGCGATCCACTTTCGCAGTGGTCGGTAATAAAATTTACTATCTCGAGCTCGTCCGTGCTTCG